ACAAAGAGGAATTCAAATCTTCATCTTTTTAATATGTTTTTTGTTTTGTTTTTTGCACACGTGAATACATGAGAGGAATTCAAGCATTCATCACTATCTCTCTCTACTCTGATTTTTTGGGTTTTATGCAAACGTTAATATGGTGTCTCATTCACATGCTCATGCTACCCTAGAAGAGTACATTGAATATTTGTTTCAATCACATGTGCATTCATCCCAGAAGTTTGAAGAACATTGAATATTATTATTCATTCGCATGTGCATACTACCCAAAAAATGAAGGATAGTGAATACTACGACTCATTCAGACATGAATACAACCTAGAAAATGAATGAGGGTAAATACAACGACTAATTCACATGTGCATACAACCCAAAAATTTAAAGACGATGAATACAAAGAGTCATTCACCGGTGCATGCAGCCCAAAAATTAGAAGATGATGAAGGCGATGATTCATTACATGTGCATGCAACACAAAAATTGAATGATATAATCAGTTATGGAATTATTTTTCTATAAATTGTGAAATATTTTTTTGTAGATTTTTGAAGATGATAAATGAAGTTTCCATAAATTGTGGTAATTTTCCTTTATTTAAGGGATTTTTAGTAAATGGAAATGATTATCCATTAGCGAAATATACCATTTTGCCCTTTTCTATTTAATAAAATGTTAAAATTGCTATTTTTTTAATAGCCGTTGAATTAAAACTAATTGATGGTTATTAAAGTGTTGCTTAATTTTTCATTTTTTTTACAGTTTTTTCCAGAACCTGACCCTATATGTAACATCTCATTTTAAAAGGTTAGATAAAATATTTAGATGTTTGAAAGTTTGGGGTAGAGTTTTACAATGAAAACCAATGGGTTATAATGTTCTTCCCTTAATCTAGTAATAATATAAAAGAAAAGAAAAAGAAAATAATGGAATTGAAGAGAGGAAGCAGGAGAAGGGAGAAGATGGGGATGAAAGTCATCTAAGACTTCAACCTTGCTTTTTTTCATCTAACCGACAAATAAAGGTAAGTTTTTTATGTTTTAGTTTGATTTCTTGATATATTTAATGTTTAGGTTAGTATTGGATTCTTAGAGCTCAAAATAGAGTTTTAGTCAATAAGGTGGTTTGTATTTTTTTTATCAATGTACTAAGGGTAAGTTGCTTCCCATTTCTGCTTCTTCTGTTGCTCAAAATTGCACTTCTAGCCAATTGTGGCATAGTCGTCTTGGTCATCCGTCTGATCAAGTCTTGGTTGTTTTAAAGGATCAATTAAAGATTGGAAGTGATAGTACACATATATGTGAAATTTGTCATATGACCAAACAAACCAAGCAAAAGTTTTCTTTAAGTGATCATAAGACAAAGTCTCTTGGTGAACTTGTTCCTTTAGATGTTTGGGGTCCTTACCGGGTGACTAGTAAGGAAGGATTTAAGTATTTTCTGACTATAATGGATGATTATACTCATGATATTTGGGTTTATTTGTTAAAAGGTAAGCATGAAGTTACTGATAATATTGTTGTTATGTTATAATTTGTTAGGAACCCAATTTGACATACAGGTTAAGGTGTTTAGAAGTGATAATGGAACTGAGTTTACTAATTTCTCATTAGGTGAGTTTTTTAAAACTAAAGTGGTTCATCAGACGTCTTGTGTTCATATTCCCCAACAAAATGGGGTTGTGGAACGCAAACATCGTCATTTCTTAAATGTGGCTAGAGCCCTTATGTTTCAGGGATGTATTCCTTTGAATATATGGAATGAATGTATATTAACTGTCACTTACCTCATAAATAGAACACCATCCTCCATTTTTGGAGGGAAGTGTCCTTATGAACTTGTATATGGATTCCAACCTGTTTTAACTCATCTGAGGAATTTTGGTTGTTTTTGTTTTGCCACCAAAATCAATGTTTCTGCTAAATTTTCTTCAAGAGTCAAGAAATGTTTGCTTTTAGGGTATGCTAATTCTCAAAAAGATTACAAGTTGTTTAGTCTTTATACAAATAAGATAATTGTTTCTCGAGATGTCAAAATTTTGAAACTATATTTCCTTTTAAAATGAGTTCAATTAAGTTGGATAGTCATATTAACAGTGAAGTAAATAGTCTAAATTTATTTTATTCATCCCTTGGCTCATCTACTAATCTCTCTGGTTTACCTTCCAATGATAAGGTTAGAGATCAACCTCCTCTAGAGGAAAGTAACCAACCTTTATCTCTTGGTAGTAGCCCATATAGAGCTGCCAGTAGGCAGCACCTAGGTAGCATAAATGTCCTCAATGGTAATCCTGGAGGAGTTGCTAGTGTGTAACCACTGAGTAGCTCAGAGTTAGCTGCCAAAGATTATATAGGGTATGGTGTGCAATCTTTGGATGCTCACCAATGTCTCAATCATGCTGAAAATTTAGATCTCCAACCTAAGGGTGTTTCTTCTAATTCCAAGAGTCATAATCTTGTCATTAGAAGAATGAATAGAGCTTCCAATTTTCCTAAATTATTTGATGATTTTGTAATAGAAGGCAAATTTAAATATGGAATAGAAAGAGTAGTAAACTACTCTTACTTGGATTCTGAATTTTTTTTTGCTTTATGACAAATTTAAACAAGTCTGTTGAGCCAAAGATTTTTTCAGAGGCATGTAATGATAAAAATTAGATTTATGCTATGAATGATGAAATGGAATTTCTGTATAGGAATGGTACTTGAATTATTATTGACTTATCCCTGGTAGGAAGCCCATTGGTTGTAAATGGATTTATAAAATTAAATATAAATCCTATGGAGAGATATAAAGATATAAAGCTAGATTAGTAGCTAAAGGATATAGGCAAAGAAATGGTCTTGATTATGAAGAAACCTTTTGTCCTATTGTAAAAATGGTCACTATTAGAAGCATTGTTGCTCTTGTTGTTCAAAATAATTGGTCAGTGTTTCAACTTGATGTTAATAATGCTTTCTTATATGGTGAACTATCTGAAGAAGTCTATATGGAATTACCTGAAGGTTATTTCAATTCTGATGACAAAATAGTGTGTAAGTTGGTAAAGTCTCTTTATGGTCTAAAGCAAGCACCTTGTCAATGGTATGCTAAAGTGTCTTCTTGTCTCATTGCTAATGGTTTTGTTCAAAGTACAAGCGATTACTCTCTTTTTACCAAGTATAGTAACTCTGAATTTGTTATACTTTTAGTATATGTTGATGATATTGTTATAACTGAAAATAATCTGATGGGAAATAAATCAAGTTAAAGCTTATTTGAAAAATAACTTTTTAATTAAGGATCTTGGCAAGTTAAAGTTTTTCTTGGGAATTGAAGTTCTTAATTTTGATGGTGGTATAAGTATGTCTCAAAGAAAGTATTGTTAGAGTTACTAAATGACTTTGGATATCTAGGATGTAAACCAATTAACACACCAATAGACATGAATCTTACTATTACAGATTCTGTGAATTCTATTTCTAATGATCCCTCTCTACATGACTATACCAGACTACCAGTTAACAAAAGTTGATTGGAAGGTTAATTTACCTTCTTACAACTCGTCTTGACATTGCCTTCGTTGTTCACTGCGTAAGTCAGTTTATGCACTCACCTCGACAATCTCATCTTAAATTGACTTTAAGAGCTCTTAGGTATTTGAAGTCTTCACCAGGAAAGGGTGTTAGTTTTACCCGGTCAGAATCTTTCCATTTATCTGCTTATGTTGATGCTGACTGGGGTAAATATCTTTCTTCAAGAAGATATGTTATCGGTTATTGTTTATTTCTTGGAAACTATGATTTCTTGGAAAAGCAAGAAACAAAATATTGTTTATCGTTATTTTGTTGAGTCTGAACACAAAGGTATGATTTCTATTACTTGTAAAATAACCTATGTTCTTAAGGTTTTATTTGATTTGAGAATCAAAGATTTACTTCATGTAAATATGTATTGCAATAATAAATTTGCAATAGAAATAGCTTATAATCCTGTTTTTCATGAACGCACTAAACATATTGAAATTGATATTCATCAAGTTCGAGAAAAGGTTAGTGCTGGGGTATTAAAAATTGTTAAAATTCTCTCTCCATAACAGCTTATTGATATTTTCATCAAGTCTTTTGGTGTAAATTAACATAATTACATATGCTCAAATTAATAATGATTGACTTGTTTAAATTAATGCCAAGATTGAGGAGGGATGTTAAATATAGCTTATTTTAGTTCAATCTTGTCATTTATAAGTTTTAGTTTTATTTTGTAAGGAATTATGTTGTAAAAGGGTGATTATGTAATAGTAGTAGTATGTGTAGTTTTTATTTTAATTAATATAATAATAGTAGTAGAGAGTGGTGTTTGGTGAGTTTAGGTTTACATTGTCTGCAATTTAAAAATGAATCGGATAGGAACTTTGTTTATTAAAAAAAGACGCACGACTTAGAAAAATGAAAAGTCTGCAACAACTTGGTTTATTTCTAAGAAGGAAACTGATTACTTCCTGAAAATAAGACCTTTAAAATTTACATAATTTATTACTTGTAATTACAAGTAGACAAAAATACGACATTGGTCTGTTTTTTGTTTTAGAGATTGCTGATTTTGTGATTATAGTTTCTATCTTAATTAGAGCTTAACTTCCTTCATGTTATATATGTTTTCATTAATTTATATTCAAAAGGAATAATAATAATAATAATAATAATAATAATAAATATTTATTTATTTAGTTTTTCTTTAATGGATCCAGTTAGAACAAGACCATATAAAAGATGTTAACGTGTGTCACACACAAATTGAATTGTTTATTAAAAAGATGCACGACTTAGAAAAATGAAAAGTCCGCAACAAATTAATTTCTAACAAGGAAAAGGACCACATCCACATCCACATCCACATCCTTTTATATTATATTATATATCCTTTTATAAGGAGGACAAAGACTTTGTAGTCAACGAATTGAATACTTTTATAAGGAGGAAAAAGACTATTAATTATTTTGTTTATATATATATATATTACTCTCAAATTATGGAGTTGAGAGACATTGCAAGCAAGCTAATTAAGGTACCATCATCATCCTACTACTTCTTCTTCTGCTGGCTGCTGCTGTGTATACTATTCCTATTCCTATTCCTATTCCTATTACATCTTCCAACTGCATGCTACCTGCTTTCTTTCTTTCTTTCTTTCTCTCTCTCTCTCTCTCTCTCTCTCTCTGTGTGTGTTCATTTGTGAAGGTACTGCTTTAATTATTACATTACATAATCATCTGTCTTCCTCTGAAACTCATACCTATCTTTATGATTATATATATATATATATATATATGTGTGTGTGTGTGTATGTGAGGTGTTATGTTATAAAATTTGAGTTATATATATTGCATTCATGGTTGTGCATGATTTGATTCAAAATGAAATCCCAAGTTGTGATGTATTTTCTGAAAGAAATTTATTGATGTTTACAACAGATCTACGTACAAGTTACAAGATCTTTATAGCCTAAGCTTCTATATATTTCTATTACCTCCTTTTTCTTAATTAGTTGTTGCTTACACACTTACCAAACCTCTTGCTCTTGCTGTTTTGCTTTCTCAATTCCAATTCCCTCCCTACAACCAAAATCAAAACCCAACCCCCAAAACGATTTACAATAAACTAAATAAATCAATTAGAGTTTAGAGACCACATCCATATATGAACCCAAGCTTGCTTTAGCTAGAACAACTTGTCATATATATATATATATATATATTATATACTATATGTAGATAGAGAGAAAGAGAGGGGGTAATAAGAGAGCATAGCAGAAGAAAGGTTATATATATATATAGAGAGAGAGAGAGAGTTTGATTCAAATACTAACCAATTTTTTGTATTAACTATGTTAACCAAGCTCAACCAATCATATTTCATCTTTTCTTTTGGTTCAAATGTAACTCATATATTAAATACAAGAGTATTTAAATATTTGTCATTTTATGTAACTCCCAAATAATTAATTGGGAGTTACAAATTGAAAATATCACAATTGATCATGATGCAATATTGACATTAGGGTTTCAAACGTGTTTATGTTCTATAATTCACATTTATTTTAATCGACAGTACTTACATTTGACATATGAACACATCAGAAATCACACAGTCTTATATACCGTGATTCATAAGTGTTCATGTATATTCAAATCACTAGATGTTCATATGAATACACACACACACATAGAACATGTGAAAACATGTGAACACGTATGAAAACATACAGCCCTAGATGCCTTGGTTCATAGGTGTTCATGTACATACAGCAGAGTTGTCTCATGAATATACATAAGATGTTTATATGTTTCACATGTTGTTAATGTGTCTAATCTTTTTTGTTTGATGTGGTTTGAAGATATACACAAGTTGTTCATACGGTTCACATGTTCACATGTCTAATCTTTTTTGTTTGATGTGGTTTGAAGATATACACAAGTTGTTCATATGTCTGATAACTCGTGTATCAAAGATGAATTACTTTTTACCTAAATATCTTTTGATATTTTGTTCACATATGTTAATTGAAAATATTAATTTAATAATTAAATTTTAAATATCATTAAATCACAACCGTTTATTATTCAAATTAACGGTCAAGATCGGTTAACAAAATTAACACGATAATCTTGGTTAGCATTTGAACCATCAAATACTTATTGTAAATTGTAGTATGTTAAAAACAAGTACAAGACAATAATGAAAAAGACAACAACATTCACATTTTTGGTAATTGAAAGGAATTCTTATGTTATAAGATTGGTAACATTTTCTATTCCCATTTAACTTTTTTGTTTTTCATAATTAACAATGCTTGTATAAGAATGGAATCGTTATTAATTAGTTCACAAGTTTCTTAACTTTCAAGTTAATTACTAGTCAAACACTCATTAAATATACAATTTTTTTAACACAAGGATCATACATAGAAACTTAAAACAAAGAGTTTATGCAACAACTCCAAAACTAACGACCCTCATCAAGTGTTGTGAAGTTTCATAACACATCCTGATCATCACTAACATGCACTTTCCAAGCCAATCAACCAGCCACGACATCGACCCAATTACAAAACAACCAACCCACAGCTTCCAATCCAATTTTGTACCATCGTCAAACCACTCTTCAAACCTGACAAAACCCACCTGTAAAACTATAAATATACTTCCACCAATCCAAAACTCTACATGCCCACTGATGCCTCTGAAAATGTTCTTGTTTTCTAGCTCTCTTGTGTTCAATAGGTTGAACAACTGACATAGGATGAAGCTGTTTGAAACCACTGCTCCAAGTCCTATGGCTTGAAGAACAACACAAGAAATAGCTTGATATAAAACCTGGGCCGATATGTTTCTCATCATCTTTGATGTTATAAGTGATCTTTTATAGCTACGTGGAATCAAGGTCACCGGTTTATCGATTGATGTCTTTGTTAGAGATACATAACCACCAATAAATGTCACGACCACGTTCACCCATACCAAATCTAACGTTGTTAAAGGAGCATCTCCTAAAGTTATGGCCCCCAACAAGTTTATCAAAGTGCTGCTAATGGACATTGTTAGAAAATGCTGGAGAAACCTTTGAATATTCTCGTAGATGCATTTTCCTGCATGGACCATGCGGATCAAGTCGCCAAAACTCCCATCCCATATTATGATATCACAACTTTCTCTTGCCTGCATAGAGCTCCATGTCCCCATGGCTATTCCTACGTTTGCTTCCTTTAGTGTTGGGGATTCATCCGTTCTTTGTCCGAGAAATGCCACCACTTCACCTTTTTTCCTCAAAGTCTCTACAAGGAGTAATTTATCAAAAGGGAGTGCCTCTCCCATAACACGAATCTTATCTACTATTTCAATTCTCTCCTTGTTAGTTAATTTTCTGAAAGCTTCACCTGTAATCACCAAAGATTCTGAATCACCATAGGTGATAACTCCACATTGGAGGGCAATGTCTTGCAGAATTGATACCTTTTTGCTAGAGACCATTATGGTTTTGATTCCATCTTTTCTGCATTTATTGACTTCTGCTTTTGTAACTTCCTTACTCCTGCTTTTTAGGCCTAATAGTGCTACCAAAACCAAGTCATCTGCATCTAGTGTTTGGGTATTTGTACGTTTGCATGCAAATGCAATTGTTCTCAACTGTTTATGCTGCATCTCCTGATCAGCTTGGTTAAAGAATCGTGTCACTTGGTCATCCATGAGAACTTTGCACCCTTTACTGTCATAGTAATGTGTGCACTTCTTCAAAATTTCCTTCACTGGCCCATGCATATGCAACAACGTCTCCTCACTTTCGCCCGTTGCCCTCATCAAAACACCACAAGGTTCTTCAAATGGATTCTTTTCTCTTTTCTTCAAAATTTTCCATCTTTGTGTCGTTTTTTCCTTTTTGAATCCCAACTTATCTTTTGCCCAATGGACAACTGCTTTCTCTATTGATATACCTATCCCATCACATAACATTTCAACAACATCAGAAGCTAACATAGTGCATCCATTGATAACTCCTACTCCAATAAAAAGCTTGTCAACCTCCATCTCATCCTCAGTGAAATCACAAATCGTGCCCATGCAAATTGTTGTAATCAATGCCATATCGACAGCAACTAGTGAATCTTGTTTAGTTGCTTTACCGCATAGCGCATCATCATCATTGCAGTAAAGAATTGCAAATGAAATAACAAAAGGTAACCCCTGTGTTACTCCAACCAGTGACACACCAAGTACCTTTATTAGAGCTCTTGTCATGTTCTTAGATCCTCTAATGATACTTTCGAAACTATTTGCAAAAGCTCTCATTGCAGTTGGTTCCTCCCCTGATTCTTGTCCATAACCATTATTGTCATGCCTTTTTCCAAACATATAGCGTAAAAACAAGACTATAAGGATTAGAATGCAAATGATGAGTCCTGTAATGTGTATGCAGATGTTCAACTTGTCGAGTTGGGCTTCAAAATTAAACTTCACATATGAACTTGTGTTGTTGCTCATAATCTCACGCCATCCTGATTTTGCATCGATAGATGTCACAACCATCCGACCATCCCCATCAATTATTCTGTCACCATATGACAAAAATGGGTTGTGCTCATCAATCATACAAGATTCAGACCCATAAGCCAGTTCTAGGGATTGACCAGCTATAAACAAACCATCTGCAGGCACTTGACAACCCCTTTTCAGCAACACAACATCACCACGAACAAGCTTAGATTTGCTTATATGTTTAACCTCGCCTCCTCTTATTACATCAATTTCCCCTAGTCTTCTCTCTGCAGAGTGTTGCTTCTCTAACTTCTTCCCAGTCCTTCGTTCTTGCTGAAACTTGCAGATAGAAGTGAAAAGAACCATAGTAACAATTGAGATTAGTAAAACTACCCCATCATGCCAACCATTCTTTATATCTTTATCAATGATTCCAAATCCAATTGCTAGGGTTGCAACCAGGAAAAGGAGGAGAGTGGTTCTATTGATGAGTGCCTCCAAGACCAGATAAGAAAATTTGCTTGCAGAAGCCCGAATACGTGAGGATGCACTTTTTTTGCTATGGTGAATAGCTCCATTTTTAGATATTCCTGTGTCTAAATCTGTATGTAGTGCTTCTGCAACTGCACTTAAACCTCCGTATGCTTGAAGGGTCCGCAATTTCTGCTCCCCTACAATCCTTAAGATGTTTTCTTTCTGATTGGTTTGCAGTTGATTGACAATCGTCCCCTTTGTGGTTGTTTGGCCAATAGTTATGTGGTGCTCAGATAAGACTGTCAAATTATCACCGGCTTCAGCAACCTTTGGTTTTTGGTAAAGGTTAAACAGATATATACATTAATCTTCTGTTTTCATGAATGATGTATTAATGACTATTAAAGCACTCGTAATCCTACATAGATATATAATTAACAATATCATGAACAAACTGATCTTTGAGCTTTGGTAAAATGAAGTAGGCTAGATAGATATCTTACTCTCTCGGTTACTTCAGAGCTACTATGATGATCATAATCATTAGTTGTTGATGATGTTGCACGTTCTTTGAACATTAGTCTTGAATATAGGATGCGGACAAGTGTTGTCATCAACTGTCTTGAACACAAAGTGTTATCTGTTGGGATAATCAACGAGGCAGTTTGAGATGCATCCATGACATCAACAGCAACTGCTTCCATGCTTTCATATCTGACCTGGTTGTTATGAAATCGAATGCATATGTTAACACATGGATATCTACATGTAACAGATAAAAGTTGATAGAAATATGCATCTTTGCGGTTGATGTGTATTGGAAGAAAAGGAAGATTCAATGCAAGGAGAAGATGAATAGTAACATATATTTTATTATTGTATAGAACTTTGTACATACATTAAATATTTACAAGACATGGGGGTACAATATTTATACACAAAGCATGAACCGTTTTTTCCTATTGGAACAAGTGTGACCCTTTAACAAACGGTTATGCCACTAATTAACTACTAAACCATAAACCGTCAATCTACTTACTTCGAATACTTTCCCTTAAGTTAGACACAACCCATTCCCACTTTTTCTTTTAGAAGATTAAATGTTCCTACTTGAAGAGGTTTAGTAAAGATGTCTGCCATTTGCTCATTGGTGTTGCAGTATTCAATATCAACTTGATGATCTTCAACTAGTTCCTGTATAAAGTGATATTTAATCTTGATATGCTTACTCTTTCCATGATAAACGGGATTATTTGAGAGAGTGATGATTGACTTGTTGTCACAGAAAATTGCAGTTGCTTCCCCTTGAGGATGATTTAACTCCTTTAGAACAGCCCTTAACCATAAAGCTTGACATATAGTTCATATGAATTACACGGGTTCATTTATGAACATATAGTTCATATGTGAATTACACTGCTTCACATATGAACCCGTTTGCCACCTATTTGTAAAAGTTACGAAACTATCACCTCTATTTTTTGCATAACCGCAAATTTTGACGAGTTAAAATCGCAATTCTTGACCAGTCAAATATGATCTTGACCGTATGAAAAGTTAGAATAACTTATTTACTTTTCAAATATTTAACACTTCTCAAAATAACTTATGACTAGCTATATATAAACACATAATCGTTTATGAACCCAATAAATCATATAAACTTACACGAGCTTTTAGGTGTTGTTTCATTCTGAAAATACATTATTTATATATTATTGTTTCATATGTGAAAAGTTGAGTTACTTGTGTGTGAAAAAAACAGTACCGCAGATAAGAACGTGTTGGTTATTTTCATTGTTTGTCAATTTCTATTATACAGGAATTTCAAAAACAGCAAGAACAATTACAATAAAAATAAAGAATACTAAGAACGCAAGAACATATTATCATAAACTACAAATTTATGCAAAAACAAATTTGAGAAGAAAACCTTAAAACCCTAAACCAAGCACGGATCATACCCTAAAATCAAGACGTTAATTACAAGCCTAAATCTTGTGGCCTAATAGAAGCATACAAAGCAAAACCATATGAAGATGCATACAAAACATAAGCAGATCTTAGAAATGGGGCATCATTATATCTTCGGAAACCTAAACGACCCCCATATCACACACCCTCTGCTATCCTCATCAAATTTCGAATTCACCATCTCTCTCACCTTGCAAATCCCGATATCATGACCTCTTTTACCTCTCCCCTTACTTCTCCCTGTATGGTCTGAATCAAGCTTGTCTCCTCTTCCTACGCCACCACTGCCAACTGCAATTCCTCACACCCTAGCTCCATCATCCATGACAACTCCACAACCAAATTAGCAAAAGTAGTGATGGGAGAGAGAAAAAAAACGAGATAGTGGGGGTTTAGGGTTTTTTCTTTTCTTCCTAAAATGGCATTCTGCATACGTACGTACTTAAGGGGAGGGAATAGACAGAGTTAGGGGGATGGGCTCGAACCAACGCAAAACCCGTAACACAAGGTTTTTCTGTAATTTAACAAAATCAAGTGACCAAAATCAAAAACAAATCATTATACCACATATATAGTTGGAAACCGCAATTTACTCATCTATCTTTATGCCAAATATTTAACAAAGAATGTGAATTAAATAAATAAAACCATGTTTTTATGTTTCATTAACATTTATTAGTAACATTTATTAATATGGATCTCATTTTAAAGGTCATGATGAGAGTTTTGTGATGATATATATATATATATAGGGGCAGGTTCAAATGCAAACCATCTAATTCTAAAAAACCGTGTAAACCAATTTCGACCAATAAAAAAATTCCATTTTTTTAATTAAATTTAATTGATAAGGGTATTTATGTCATTTTACACAATTTTTTGATAATTAAGGAAGTTATTAATACATTTTATTTAAGGCAATTTAATAAAAGAAAGTATGAAAATGGTAACGTTTCAAACTTTTATTATATTATATTATTAAAATCT